CACACATTTCTGCTTTTCTTTTGGCACAGTTCAGTCACAGCCTGCTGACTGCCTGCTGGACACTGTCTCAGAGGGGGGGTTTGACACAAAACCAGAAGACACATCAGCAGTGATCGTTTTGCTTTAGTTATCAGTGGAAGGCACTGAAAGTGCACAGTACATTAACACAACAGTGAGAGGATTGGCTTAGAAGACAACAGTGAAATAAATAAATCAATGAATTAATATCCACTTAACGAATTTCCTGCTTAAGGTGGAACAAGCCTCCTGTGTATCTAAGTACACTGCTGGGAAGCTCTGATCTTGCAGGGCCACGGCACAGGGTTTGCAGCTGGTCTTGAATTCAGCCAGCAGCTCACAGCTGGTAGCCCACTGAAGCTCAGCAGGTTTGGGCCTGGTCAGTGCCAGGAGACTCCTGGGAAAGCTGAGGTTGCTGCTGGAGGAGGTGTAAGTGGGGCCAGCAGGGGGTGCTCACCCTGCGGTCCATGTGGATCCTAATGCCCCAGTATAGTGACGGGGACACTATACTGTAAAAAGGCACCGTCCTTCGGATTAGACGTAGAACTGGGGTCCTGACTCTCTGTGGTCATTAACAATCCCAGGGCATTTCTCAAAAAGAGTAGGGATGTTACCCTGACCTCCTGGCCAAATTTCCCCCTGGCCTTTACCCATCATGGCCTCCTAATAACCCCCATTCCTGAACTGGCTTCATCACTCTGCTCTCCTCCCCACAGAGAGCTGGTGTGTGGGGAGCGTTCTGGCGCACTATGGCTGCCGTCGCATCATCCAGGTGGGGCTGCACACTAGGGGTGGTGGAGGGGATCCCCATGACCTGTACAGCGCTTCGAGTGGAGTGTCTAGAAAAGTGCTATATAAGTGTAAGGACATTATTATGATACCTGGAAAGTGGCTACATTTGTTCAATTCAGTAAATTAAGGGGTTCAGTTAGGTAAATAAAAACCCAGGGCGAAGGAAAACCAGGAGTGGCTGCTGCTTCTGAGGATCTGTGGGTCACTGTTGTGGGGAACTGGGTGGAATCATAGAGATCTGCCATTAGATGGCGATAATGTACTATCAGTAGCAGGACTGGCCACTCTCTGGATTGCTCACAATAAAGTGAGTGGGGCCATGTAAAAGATCTGACCAACATTTCACATGTCCAGAAACTGATTGCTCTTCCACAAGAAATACGAAAGCATGTCACCAGTGTACATGTAAATTATAGTGCTGCTGTGATAGAGAAGCGTGCCGTCAGCTGCTAGAGCTCTCGCTGTGAAGTGATGATTGGAGGTCAGTTTTGGTAGATCCTGGCCAGGTCACTAGAGAGGTAGAAAGAGCCATCTGTCTTTTCTCCATCTTCTATACAACAAAGAGGGAGACAGGATGACTTCAGCACCGACCTTCTGCATGAATATCTGTGTCTCCCTCTGTGATGCATCAGGAACATCTTCCTGAACCTTCTGAGTGTTTGGGGCTGCTCAGTTTTATGTTCAGTGTTAAGCTGCACACATATAGCCCTTTTGGCTTCTTGCTGGAATATGCTAGGTTTTTTTTCCAGATTAAAAAATTCTTTCAAAAAATACGCCTCACAACTCCCTACTGTCCATTCCCCTCTCTCACAGTCCAGCAGGGTCCAGCACTCCACCAGTCCCAAGTCTGATACCTCAGGTGCAGCTTTCTCCTAATGTTTTTGTCAAGCGGAGCTTCAAAACGAAACAGTTGAGCTCCCAGGAGGCCTGTTTTTTAAACACGGACAGTTTTGAGACAACATACAAGTTACAAGCCAGCGTTCGGATCAAGGCCCTGGTGCCTCTGGAGAGTGGCTCCCCAGCGGGATTGTGGGAAGGAGCGGAGCTGGGTGCAGAGCCCAGTCCCTGACCGTGTTGTTGTCACGGCCGCCACAGAGAGAGCACCGCCCCTCCCAGAGGCCTTCCTGTGCCACAGGGTTCCCATGGAAACACTTCCCTTGCCTGCTCTGTGTTGGAATGGGACTCAGGACTGGTCAGGCTCTCTCTCCGGCCTGTGGCTGATTGACAGGGCTGTTCCATCCAGCTGCTGCTTCTGAGGGTTAAAGCTGGGCGCCACCAAGCACCCAGTCTGTTCTGTTCTGTTCTGTTCTCTGTCCTGTAGGCCAGGGGTCCCCACGGTGCTAGTGGCCTCCCTTATACTGATGGCAAAGCAAAGCAGTTTCCTTATAAAAAACATGACAAATTGAAAAACGAATCAATAGCTCATGAGGAAAGTAAAAAATGTGACATGACAGACTAGTCTTTGGCCTCGCCCCTTCCTAGCCTGTGCAGTGCCCTGGCCAGTGCGTGCTCACAGTTCCCAGCAGAGCGGCACCTGCTGGCAGCCCGTGCACACTGCAGCTGAGGGACGGGAGGGCAGTGTGGGCGGGCCAGGCCCAGTTCGAGCCAGGCCTTGTGGGAATCAGGCAGCGATCAGCTGCGCGGGCCAGCGGAGAGCCTGCAGTGCTCAGAAGGAGTACCGTCCGCCGCCAGCACACAGACTCTGGGCACATCCTGCAGCGGTTGTGGGTGTGACAGCCCCCACCCTTCCTCCCAGCTGCGCCACCTGTCCGAGCTCACCATGTCTTGCCTGCTGGTGCAGCTCGAGGACAATGTTTCACAATTGCTCTGCCCTTGCCTGTAACAGCCGATAATGGTGTCCTTCGGCTTGGGGAAGGCTGTCACGGTCGACGTGTCCCAGTTTACTGGAGGACAGGACTGGACACTTGAGACCCCAAAAGACCTGGTTAGTCCATCCTCTGTCACACTGCAGCCAGTGGTGGCAGGAGCACCGCGTGAGAAAGGAGCAGTGGGATGATTCAGTGAGAGACCTGGGAGAACTGGGAGAGCTGGGAGCACACCGGACTGCGTCCCTCTCAGTCCAGCTGGAGAGCTCTGCACATTCCTGCTGCCTGCGTGCCAGGCTGCCTGAGCGACTGAGCCCCAGAACTGCGAGCAGGGATACTGCCTGTTTTGTAATTAGCACAATAACTGCTGAACTCCTTGTGTGTGCAGGGGTGGGTGGGACTAGGGAGGTGGTTTCCAGAGGGGGGAGGAGGGGTTACTGGGGTAGGGGGAGGGGAGGTGGTGTTGGGGAGGGGGGGGGGTTTGCCTGCTAGTTCTTCCCAGTGTGAGAGCTCCTCCACCGGGCTGGCCTCCCCCTCCAATCCCTGGAGCTGCCTGGAGGATGGAGGAGGCGTGTCTACAGGCCTGTATAAAGTCCAAGGAGCTACTTCTGTGGAGCCATTCTAGAGTGCTTCCCTGTGCAGAGAGCGTGCGCACGAGAGAGAGAGACAGAGCAACAGGGAAAGGGCCTCCGCGCTGTTTCGTGCTATCAGTCATCAGCACCTGGGCCTCTGCAGATCCCCGCCTGGGTGGACTTTGTGCTGCCAAGCTGTGCTTCAGGGCGCTTTCCACTTTAAAGGGACCTGGGCGTCCGAGGAGATTTTCTTTCAGAAGCTAATGAACAGATCATTCTTTTAAAGGCAACTTTTTTTTTAAAAAGCATTCAATGTCTACCTGTAAATTACCGGTCTGAACCAAAGCAAGCCCTTGCGTTCCGACGGAACGAGAATCCCCCCCTGGCAGGGAGCAGCTCCTCGCCCTCGGAAGAGCCCCTCGCAGAGGCACGCAGCCCGGAGGAGGGACCACCAGCCTCCTGCACCTGCCCCAGCTCAGGCTCCGGCTCCTGCTCCGGCTCCGGGTCTTACTCCTGCTCCAGCTCCAGGTCCCACTCCGGCTCCGACTCCGGCTCCGGGTCTTACTCCTGCTCCAGCTCCAGGTCCCACTCCGGCTCCTACTCCTGCTCCAGCTCCAGCTCCAGGTCCCACTCCGGCTCCTACTCCGGCTCCGGGTCTTACTCCTGCTCCAGCTCCAGGTCCCACTCCGGCTCCGGCTCCTGCACCTGCCCCAGCTCCAGTTCCCGCTTCCGGCCCCTGCACCTGCTCCGGCTCCTCGGCTGGGCGAGGAGAGAGAGTCCGTTCCCCATGGGGCGCGAGCCTCGGACCAGTGCCCTGTGGGCGGCGTCCGCGCTGCTGCTGGCGGCGCTGTGCCTGACGGAGGAGGCCATCCGCTGCCCGCCCTGCTCCGAGGAGAAGCTGGCGCGCTGCAGCCAGCCGGCCAACTGCGAGGAGACGGTGCGCGAGCCGGGCTGCGGCTGCTGCCCCACCTGCGCGCTGCCCAAGGGCGCCCCCTGCGGGGTGTACTCGCCCCGCTGCGGCTCCGGCCTGCGCTGCTACCCTCCCCGCGGCGTGGACAAGCCCCTGCACTCCCTGATGCACGGCCACGGCGTCTGCACAGACGAGCGGGAGGTGGAGCAGCTCATGGGTAAGGGAGGGGCGCTCTTCGCTCTTTCTGTTCCGTCTTCCGGGTGTCCCCCCCCCCCCCCCCCCCTTTCCTGAGTCTGTGAAACCCTGTCTCTGCATGTGTCCGTCCTGCCAGGAGCACGCTCTCCCTCGCAGGCTGGATCCTGCTCAGTGTTTGTGATGGTTCCCCTGGCTCTGCTGCGCTGTGGGAGGCTTTGCTCTGCAGACCAGATAAGATCAGATCACTTTATCAGCCCTGTACAATTTCTTGCATTAGGAATTTGTCTTTTCGCAGACCCCTGCTTGCTCTCCCTGAGACACGCAGACAGGGAGAGAAGCTGGGGGTCAGAGTGCAGGGTCAGACATTTATACGGCGCCCCTGGAGCAGCTGGGGTTAAGGGCCTTGCTCAGGGGCCCAACGGAGTAGGAGTCCCCTGCCGGCTGTGGGATTTGAACCAGCAACCTTCCAGCCACAGGCGCAGATCCTGAGCCAGAGGGCCAGCGCTCCACCCCAAACCCGCCGCTGAGTATGAGCCGGGCAGTTTCTGAGCCCCATGGCCCCCCAGGCTCTCTCCTGTCCAGCAGCAGGACTCCGTGCCTGGCGGGCTGGCACCGTGCCCCTCATGCGGGCTGCTGTGCCGGAAGAGCCCAGTGCAGCGCGGGCCCCAGGCGCGAGGAGCAGGGCGCCAGCCTCCTCTGAGGGTCAGTGCGTGTGCGCCGTCCTCACACAGCTTGCGGGGAAACGGAGCCTCTCGGTCGCTCAGCTCTGTCTGCGTGCGCCCTGCGATATGTGTGGCTCTGTGAAGCTAAATTGCGAGATTACCTCCCTTGTTTGTCCCTTTATCGTGGCTTAGTACGTCATTCCTGGAAGTCTCACGCCGGAGAAAGCCGAATCGAACAGCTCAGTTAGTGAAAGGTGAAAAGGTTTCGTGGGGTCTGAGCGTCCGTTTGAAGGATCGTCTGTGTGGTGTGACCCGCGTCCAGCGCTGCCTCAGCGATGAAGACAGGGAGGGAGGGGCTTGTAAGGTCACCAGCAGAGCTGAGCCCCACGGAGGGCAGGTGGGCCGAGTGGAGAGACCCCTGTGCTCCTTCGGGAGCCTCTGGGCTGCTGGGAGCAGGTGTGTGACAAGGGGCAGGGTGTTCATTTGTAATCAGCGGCTCAGGGCTGGGGGGAGAGGGGACACCTGTGCTCTGGACAGAGAATGTGAGACAGTTGTGTTCAAGGACTCTGCTAGACAGACAGGAGGCAGGAGTCACCCGTGCAGATAAAGTGGGGCGGGCCTGCAGTCCAGAGAGGTCCATCCAGCCACTGGCACAGACTGGCACAGGCTGACATCTGTACCTGCCTGAGAAAGACATGGCTGATATCAGTCAAGGTGGCCACCATGGGCCCAGTGATGTTAGCCGAGCTCTGTCCTGTTGTGTTATTTCCACTTACTGACCTGCTCTTTCGATGCTGCGTCTTCTGTGCGACAGAGGTACCCAAGCCCCCCAAACAGCGGGTTCTCAGCCGAGCTGTCTGATTAAATAAACGCTTGCTATCATCGTGAGTATTATGACCATTGGACAGAGTGTCCTTCTGTTTCCTGAGAGGATTATGCTAAGAATCCGAAGTGGGACAGGAAAAGACATTCGCTGGGTTCTGGGTTCTGCATCCCCAGCTCCTGTCTCTGTGACTCGCTGCGCCCCGAGATTGGCGTCACAGCAGGGACCTCTTCAGGCCAGTGAGTGAAGTGTTGAGAGGCTGTTTCTCATCAGAAAGACGAACCGTTCGCACTGGGCTGCGCCAGTCAAGTGGAGTGAAGAGCACAGCACCGACAAGTCAGTTCCCGGAATAATAATGAAATCTCGTAAATTCCGAGATTTCACAGAGAAACCCCAGGGCGCTGCCTCCGCTGTTCCGCGTTCCTGGGGGCAGGGCCTCCTGTTCTGGGCTCTCGGAGGTTAACGGGAGGGTCGTGGGGTCGGATCCCAGGTTACACTGCTGCTGCACCCCTGAACCGTGGGGGCGCCCTCACGAACGGCCCCTGCAAAAGTCCCAGCGGTGCGGACGGGCGCAGACGGAAGTCGCTTCGGATAAAAGCGTCAGCCCGAGAAAGTCGTGAAACGCAGACAGGAGCGGGCCCTGCCCCAGGGGCGAGAGGTGAAAAGTCACAGGAAACACAGAGTTAACGAGCGAGGCCTCTCGAATCGAGAGCCTCTGTTCTTGAAAGTTCTCTTAAATGCCTGGAATTCTAATTTCAATTTGGAAACCCCACCCCCCCCATGTCTCCAGCTGCTGTGTCATGACAAAGCAAGTATGCCTTTTAAACAAATCTGACATCACCGCCGTGCTGCAGCCCATGACATACTTTTCTTTGGATCGAAACAAAAAAGAAAAGAAAATCTGACTTTCACATCTGTGGCACAGTCGGCGGAGTTATCCATTATTAAATGGAGTGGAGTGAGTATTCTGGAGATGGGAGCTCTGCAGCCCAGAGTCCTAGCAACAGCGAACAGACAACAGTTATAAATAGCAGGGAGCTTAACAAACTCTCCGTATTACCAAAGCCCATGTAAAAAAGGCTGGCGTTTCAGCCTCTCAGAGCGCACCGAAAAGACGAAGAACTAGCGCCTGATACAGTCCCAGCTTGCATCTTAAGGCGTGCACTGAAACACCCCAGTCTGCCAGGGGTCCCCCTGGGGAGTAGGAGGCTGTTTCCTACTGTCCAATTTGCGAGACTGAAAAACAAACAAGAAAGAAAAATTGCTTTTGTGAATCGGAGCCTGCCAAGCACACACACCCAACGTGCAGCTCAGCTCAGCAAACAAAGAAGGCCGAACTCTTTTTTTTTCCCCCTCTGCGGGCAGACCGTCCCCTCTGCAGCAGGCCCGACAGGAAGCCAGGGTCAGAGTGGGGAGTCCGCTCAGGTGAAATTCAGGGCGTGGGGGAGAAGACAGAGACACAGGGCAATGCCAAACCGGGCAACTCTGGGGCTACAGCCGTTTTGGACACAAGCGCCGAAAGGACTTGAAAGCATCTGGCGAGGTGGGCGGGTTTGGCTGTTTTGCAACTGAGAGGCGGACGGGACTGGGGAGGAGTAGGGGGGATCAAGCTCTGGGGAGCCTGGAGGAACGTCAACATCCAGAACTCTCAGTCAGAGAGGCTGGCGCCCAGGAAAGGCCCGACCTGGGGTATTCAGTGTGGATGGACGGGACAGCACAGCACCCCACAGAGATCCAGGAAAGTCTGTCATTTGCTGGCCGTAGACGTGCGCACTGGGATCGAGGCAGTGGGATACGATAGCCGGGGTAAAACACAGCAGACGTTTTGGGAAGGAGCCCCCCAGGGATCCCCCCAGCTCCTTGCGGGGAGATCGGAGCAAAATGAAAGCCGCACTAACTCTACCCACCTCTAGAGGTCTGGAGCCGCCCAGGACTCAAGACTTCCAGAGAAACCTGGCAGACTGGGATCGCGACAGCATGTAAGAAGCGGGTTCGAACAGAGCAGGTGTTCGACTAAAGCCAGAAGGAAAAACCCGGGGTCGAATCTGTGTCACCAAGGGCCGTGGGCCCAGAGGGACAGAAGGGACTCTCCGGGCGGGGGCGGCGCTGCCCCTGCAGGCCCGGGACCGAGACGGGTGCACGCTGAGGAGCCGAGGGCAGAGGAGCTGCACGATAAGATGAGTCTCCTGACGCAGGAGCCACGGGTCGCCTTACTTAATCAGTAACTGCGCTGCTGAACCCGGGTTTGACTTCGACTGGCCGGCCGTGCAGCCCGAAGGGAGGCTGCTGACGGAGCACAGGGGGGCATGGTGGGGCTGTTTATTCTGGCTGATAAGGGATATGGGGGGGGTCAGGTCGAGGGAGGGGAGATGCAAACACATAACACAGCTGGTGAGCGGGCAGCGCAGCTCGTCTCCTCTTCCAGCTGCGTTTTCATGACAGCGATGCTTGTTTAATACCCTGCCTTGGCAAACTGGCCAAACTGGCCATCAGTCCAAACCTCCAGTTCCCCCAGCCAGCGAGCACCTCCAGCCTGGGAAGGAAACACTTAAAACACCGGCTCTCCTGAGACACGGAGTCAGATCCTGCAGCCTGTCGATGACACTGTCAAGCAGCATCCCTGCAGACGCCCGCAGCAGCAGGGAGAGGAGAGAGGGAACTGGTCCCGTCTGAAGCTTCTCTCACCCAGCAGAGCTCCTCCTCAGCCTGGATGGTATTGAGCTGCTGCAGCTGGTCTACATGGCCGTGAGGTCTCGCCCAGCCTGGTGCGGCTGCTCTCTGACCTGGGTAAGAGCCTCTTCCATCACGAACTGCACTCAACCCCTCTCCCGTAAGAGGAGCTCTTGACATCCTCCTTCACAAACTCCTAGCAAGGGCTTTAATATTTGCATGGAAGGGGCTTTGTGCCATTTCAGTACCTACTACTACATATTCATATTGTCTTACAGGGATAAAAAAAACTTTTTCAGTGCCAGTTTGCAGAATCCCAGAGCCCATCTTTGACAGCAGGCAGGGGATCAGAGTGTTTTCACAATGCAGACTCCCAGTTATTGCCCCTCTCTCAGCCCCCTCCCCAAGACCTCAACCCAGGTAGCCCTGAGGAAGAATGTGCCCGTCCCAGAGAGAGTCTTCCTGGAGCTTCTGTTGGGCGGAATGCTGCCTCCTTCCCAAACAGAAGGGAAAGAAAATCCGGAGAGCTTATCGGATCGTCACTCCTGATCCCTGATGCCCTGGTCTGGTACCACAGTCCGCCACAGATCCAGGCTATTAGAGAAGCGGGCAGACAGTTCTGCTGACTGCTTGTCCACCTGTTGCTGAGAGTCCTGATCTGCGGGACTAAGCAGGTCTGACATACGGGACACACCGCCCGGCACAGAGCGGAGAAGACACACACAGCACAGTGTGGCGTGGCTAAGCGCATCATGTGGGGCCTGACGCAGATGCTCACGCAGGAGGAAGTGGAGGTGCTGCAGTTCAATTCAATTCAATTCCATTTAGTTTTCTATAGCGCCTTTCACAACAAGGTTGCCCCAGGGC